TAAACCTTATGCACATAAACAATCCCAATGGGACGCATTAGAAGCAGCTTGCTATTTTTCTGAATTAGTGAATACAATTAAAACTTGATTAAGTTACTGTGGTTTTGCATGTCACCTCAAGTCATGACGGTTCTGCAAACATCACAATGACAATGCATGACCAATAGTGACCACAAAACTAGTCTTAAGTGTCAATTTTTTTAAATTGAGATTTGTACATCATCTGAAAGCTGAATAAATAAGCTTTCCATTGATGTATGGTTTATTAGGGTCGGACAATAATTGGACAACTATCTGAGGAATCTGAGGGTGCAAAAAAATCTAAATATTGAGAAAATCATCTTTAAAGTTGTCCAAATGAAGTTCTTAGCAATGCATATTACTAATCAAAAATTAAGTTTTGATATATTTACAGTAGGACATTTACAAAATATCTTCATGGAACATGATCTTTACTTAATATCCTAATGATTTTTGGCATAAAAGAAAAATGTATAATTTTGACCCATACAATGTATTGTTGGCTATTGCTACAAATATACCCCAGCGACTTAACACTGCCTTTGTGCTGCAGGCTCACATATGTGATTTTGCGTTCAAGCCAACACTTTGAGGGATCCAAGTTTCTTTCCTTTTTTAATATTTAATATTAATTTGCTGATATTTCCAGACCAATACGCATTTTCATTGAGTCAGAAAAATATCTCAAATAAAAAAAAACAAGCCTCAAATTTATTAAGAAGCCCAAAATTGACCAAAAATATGCTGATAATATTTACATGGCCAAAAAGTAAGATGAAATTCTGATAGCTTGTAATGTAAATCAATGAGATGATCATTTTAAAATGCATATTAATATCATTATATTTCCAGATAATGTCTTAGTAAGATCATATTTAAATGTGTTTATGATCAATGCTCTGTAGTTTTTATCATGGGAGGCAAAACATATATTGCAATGCAATACGATGATATTCAAGAGATGCACAAATAAATGTTCATCAAAAGCCTGATTTTAGCCTCACATTTAAGCATGGTTTTCTAAAAAAAGAAAAAAATGATGTATGGATAATCAAGTAAAAGTTGCTTCAGACCAGTAATTACTTTACTTGCAAAAAGAAAAAGTATGCAGTGGATTACTCAGTTCAGGCCTTATATTAAATAACCTCAAAATGACCTCAGACTCTGTGTGCATTTCAGTACAGTTCAGACGGCAATGACCTCCCGTGATCGCTACAGTGGTGGTGACATTTCTTATCTTTTGTTTAAGAGACTGGAGAGCTGGCAGGCTGCATCTTGAGACTTGTGAAATGGAAGCAGCTCTCCATCTGGTTTTTAGAGAGGTTCAGGCAGAGTTTAGAGTTGTTTAAGTTCACAGGTCAGCTGTGCCTTATATCTGTCAGTTATCACGTTCAATATGGTTTCGTGCCATAAAAACGGGTCACAGCCTGGTCACTTTAATGACGCTATTGGCAGAGTCAGAGCTTCATGATACACCTAATAAACAGAATGAAGAAACCTTGTTGTGGACCTCTCTCTAGACCCACTGCCCCAGTAAACTCATCTGCTACAAAGCTGTAAATCCACAGTGAAGCAAGCTTGCATTTCAGTCGCTAAGCAATCTTTGTATTTTAAGATTTGTATTCACTGACACCGAATCCAGTAGTTTTATTAATAAGCTGAAAATCTGTTTTGTTCTAATGAAGAGCTTTCAGACTGAGATCAGTCTTCTTTCAGACACTCTTCACTGCTACCACAGTTGAAGAAGAAAAACAGAGCTGGCCTTTGCTTGACTCACTGAATCTTGTTTATCACTTGTTGTTTACAAGAGTTTAATCTTTTTAAACGGCAGCTAGATATCTGTGACCAAAGCCTTCATGCAGCGGTGCTGCAAAATGTGTTTTGGGAGTAAAATGCATTCAATGCACAGCTCAACATTATTCAATTGAAACATAGTCCTTCCAAAAAAAGAAAGAAAGTTTACCAGATATACAACTCTTTTAAGTAGGCTACAAGCTTGAATGATAATCTTGCATGTGTTATTTTCTAAGAATAAAAGGGGAAACCCTTTCTTCTAACATTAGATGGTCAAAAACAGTAGCCTGCACAAATGTTCAGTGGTTTTTGTTGTGATATTTAGAAAAATTTAATAGTTTCAGGCTACTGGGGCTCCTGAGAATTTGAATCCTGTCTGAACACTGCATTAAACCGACTTCTGATCATTCAATTCTGCATTGACACAAACATTGAAGCTTATTTTCACCCCTCTGCAAAAGCTCTGAAATAGCTACCATTTCTGTCTACCATAACTGCTCCCACTCCTAAATCCAACACACACACACACACACACACACACTCTCTCTCTTTCTCTCTCTCTCTCACACACACACACAGACAGACACACACTCTCTCTCTTTCTCTCTCTCTCTCACACACACACACAGACAGACACACACTCTCTCTCTTTCTCTCTCTCTCTCACACACACACACAGACAGACACACACTCTCTCTCTTTCTCTCTCTCTCTCACACACACACACAGACAGACACACACTCTCTCTCTTTCTCTCTCTCTCTCACACACACACACAGACAGACACACACTCTCTCTCTTTCTCTCTCTCTCTCACACACACACACAGACAGACACACACTCTCTCTCTTTCTCTCTCTCTCTCACACACACACACAGACAGACACACACTCTCTCTCTTTCTCTCTCTCTCTCACACACACACACAGACAGACACACACTCTCTCTCTTTCTCTCTCTCTCTCACACACACACACAGACAGACACACACTCTCTCTCTTTCTCTCTCTCTCTCACACACACACACAGACAGACACACACTCTCTCTCTTTCTCTCTCTCTCTCACACACACACACAGACAGACACACACTCTCTCTCTTTCTCTCTCTCTCTCACACACACACACAGACAGACACACACTCTCTCTCTTTCTCTCTCTCTCTCACACACACACACAGACAGACACACACTCTCTCTCTTTCTCTCTCTCTCTCACACACACACACTCTCTCTCTCTCTTTCTCTCTCTCACACACACACACACACACTCTCTCTATCTCTCTCGCTCACACACACACACACACACACACACGAAGCTCATAAAGATCATGTGTGACTCATAAAGCAAACAAACAAACACAAACACCTTTGTGTTCCTCAAGACCAGCTTCGTTATTCTCACATAAAAAGCTCCTGGAGACACATGTAAACAAACAAACAAACAAAAAATAAATAACCTATATGACTTCTCAGAAACAAGATTTTTATGTTTGCATACTTTCTCATTCATATTACTCATCAGTTTACAAGCTTAATAAAATAATATAATAAACATTTTTTTAAAAATGCATTGTAACTGATTACTATATTCTAATGTTAACATAAAAAATAATAATGTTATGAAATGACCCCAATTTAGTTTAGTGAAACGAATTTATTTATTTCATTGAGTTGAGTATACAAGTACAGCAAGTATACTAGCTTGAACAGCTGCAGATGTGCTTCTCTGTAACAGAGATCTGTATCATGGGATACTTTTGATGTGCATCGTCCCCTTGTGGTCGAGCTGGTAAAGACATGTTCAAAGTCTATGTCACCTTTGGTACTGATGTTTGTAGCTTTGAAAACACAGACAAGTATTGAGCAACAATATTAATATTCAAAGTGATTAAAATGTTTAGTAGAAACATTCAGTCATCAAATACTCAAAAAGTTTAAAATGGTAATAAACTGTTAAAATCAACAACAGTTACAAAAGTGCTTAATTAAGTAGGGAATATTTCATGCAAATAAATCCTTGATAATTAATATTATGCAAATATGGACGACCAATTTATTTAATTTCAGCTTTTTTAAATTGATTGATTGATTGATTGGATATTACCAGTAAAATGAAGAAAGTCATACATTTTTGCCTCAGTGGTTGGACCAGTTTATTAAGTAGTTTTTCTTTTTCTTTCTTTCTTTCTTTCTTTATCTACTAAATAGCTCTTCTTTATTTTGGTCATTACCAGTAAAATGAAGAAAGACTTTATTTTTTGCCTCAGTGACTCAGCTGGTGGAGATGATATGTCAGCAGAAGTGTCTGTTTGTCTGTGCATGTGTGTACATGTCGTTTAGAGATTTGTGGAACATTTGTTCTCTCAACATCAGAAGAGAAAAAAGTTAGAAATCATTAACTCCAGACCGAGTGGATACTGACCCACGGGCTCTGTAGCAATAGAACCGTGCTGCGTCACGGTAAACGATCCGTTTGTCTTTTTGCTTTGTTTATATCTTTGTATAGTATGCTTATAAGAAAAACACAAAATTTAATCTGGAGGTATTCAATTATTGTCAATTATTAGTTAGTCTCAGAAACATACAGTTGAAGAAACATAAGATCTAACTTCAAGCAAAGCTAAATGAGCTTCAGCTCAGCTAAATGTTAAATGTCCTTCCCTCGTTAAACTAAATTAATATTAAAAACTAATGTACAATTATATGATTCCGTCATCAGTAATGATTATTTACTGGCTTTGCGATGCCATTAATATGGGCCTATACAGTTCATGCTTAAAATATGACATTAAGGCCTGGTTTCACAGGCAGGGCTTAGGCAAAACCAAGATTAGGCCATAGTTCAATTAGGACATGCAAGTAATTTTTATAAACATGCTTTAGAAAAAACATAACTGGTGTGAAATCTTGAGACAAAGCAAGGGCACTGACATATTTTAAGATCAGTCCGTGCAAGTTTCTTTCAGTTGCAACAGCTCAGACTTACATTTTAGTCTGGAACTAGGCTTAAGCCTTGCGGAGGTAAGTTTTTTACAGTATACAAGCACCAAAACATTCCCGGCCCGGGAAAGGTTGAAGGCAGACCCCTGATTAAATCAATATAATGTTCAGGTCTCGATTGTCTCTGCCCATGTTAGCATTGAGACGGACATGTTGACCAATCTCTGCAACATTTACGGTTCATTCTGAGTCACACGCTGAGTAAGAGAGGGGTGGTGGTAGCTCTTATTTGTCTAGTGGACGGTTATCTCTGAGCAGGACCTTGATCGGATAAATATCCCGCAGCAGTCAACAGCAACTCACAATCTCGAGGGACCAGACAGATTGCAGGTCCAATATGGCCTCGTTCATGCATGCGTCTGTCTCCATCCTGCTGCTGTCCACATTAACCTCAGCGGTGAGCGACATACAAATGTTATTTTATCGTAATACCAATTTCTTTTACTGATTTTGTTTTCTCCCTTTTGTCACCTCAAGCAGATGAGAGGGGACTATTCACCAACGCAAGACATTTGTAACCCAAACGATGGGTTTGTAAGTACAGATTGTCTGCTCTAGTAATGCATTTGTATTCAGGAAGCTTAATAGTCACTGGTTTAACACTAACTCTCCTTTCTCTCATCCTCAGGGGATATACTGCCCAACCACATGTGGAGTTGCTGATTACCTACAGAGGTACGTGCCTGATATGGACAGAGAGCTGGATCAAATGGAGCAGGATTTGGAGGCTATCGCCAACATTACAAGAGGAGCGCAGGACAAAGTGGTCTACCTAAAGGACTCAGAAACACAAGCACAAAAACAAGCACCAGGTAGCACGATTTATCATTAATTATGGGCTGAAAAAAAATCATTAATGTAACACATGCACATAGGTTACAGTGGTCTCGGATGAGCTCTCAGGTGCGTTTTAGATGCTGATTCTGGATTAATGCATCAATTTAGTGCATGAAGAAAAAATACATATTTTTCTTACACTGTGAGTACACATTTTATTATTTAAAAAAAATTTAAATACCATTTAAGGTTATTTATTTATGTATTTTTCACATATTATTAATTATTCATACATGTGGGAGTCGCACCACATGACACTTTTTTCACAACCTGAAATGTTCTTATATTTTACGAGACTTACTGACCTTGACACAGTGATGAGCATCTGCGGTGGTCCTCTCTGTGATATAATTTCCTGTTTTATGGGAAATTATATAATTGTATTATAATTTGTTATAATATTTTCTGGAAGTTGGTTGCACCGCATGACGTGTTGGTTGCACCACAGGACCACAAAATAAATCCTTTTTCAAATATTAATAAAAAGTGAAAGAAATAATAAAGATTGTTCTATCCAATAATTTATATTCTTTTAAGAATGCTTCTTTGATATCAGGACAGTTGTATCACTATGACATTTTTATCCCTCCCAAAACACACATAAATAAAAACTCATACAGAAAGTAAAACATGCATATCATAGAATAGGCATATTCAAGTCATTTTATGTATAAATCGCATTTTTAAAGTAACTGTGAAACTTCATTTGATGTTCATAACCGCCATCTTTTTGTCAGATACATACATCAAAAAATCTACAAGCATGCTCGATGATATACTACGATTTGAGAAGAGCATTCTCGCTCAGGAAGATCAAATATAGTGAGCACTTTTTCTTCTATGCCACTTATCTTAAATATGGTCCAAATAGTTTATGAAATGCCATTATATAATATTTTATTCCCCCCTCAACAGTCAGCTGCAGTCAATCCTACAGGCTAACGAGAAAAGAATAACCGATTTAAAGCAGATGTCCCAGCAGCTGGACCAGATGTGCAAAGAGCCCTGCAAAGACACTGTGGAGATTCAGACAGTCACAGGCAAAGGTAAAAACAGCAGATTCATACATCTCACTGAAAACTGACACAGTGAATTGATTGTACATAAGGTACGTAGACGGCTGAAGTACATGCACTTTTCCCCAGATTGTCAGGACATTGCAAACAAAGGTGCTAAGGTCAGTGGGCTTTACTACGTGAAACCAGCCAGGGCTCCAGAGGCGTTCTTGGTCTACTGTGAGATAGACAGCTTTGGACGTGGATGGACTGTCCTTCAGAGGGTACGTGGAACAACAAACTATGTTAAGGGTGTAGGGCCAGCAATATTGGTGCCGTGACCCAGGTGTGTGTGAGGTTTAAGGAGGCTGACTGTTCAGGTGAACTTCACTCTCCTGGCCTCAAGAGGCGGACTAAATACTTACTATGATCTTTAAAGTCCTTGTTAGCATGCCTTTGACACTTGTTTGAGTCCTGGACAGAAAGGTGCAAGTAGAAGCAATTACAAATGTGTACAGCTTTAATGATCAAAACGAATCGTTTGTTTTTCAGAGACGGGATGGCAGCGTCGACTTCAACAAAAACTGGATTCAGTATAAGGAAGGCTTTGGGTATCTCTCACCAGACGACAGAACAGAGTTCTGGCTGGGGAATGAGAAGATGCATCTGCTGTCTGTTCAGTCCAGCGTGCCTTATGTGCTGAGGATAGAGATGGTCGATTGGGAAGGCAACAAAAAGTAATGAACCACGGGGAACTGATTTACTTACTCTCACACACATTCCTGCCCTATATTGTGCTTTTTAGGTTTGAATTTCACAAGTGGAGTTCCCAAATCACCTTATTTTAACATTTATACACTTTCCTTTAGAGTTAAAGGAATGGTTTTGAAGTCAAACCTGCGCAAGAATCATCCATGCAGAAGTTTTCCTTATCTGCAGTCGCCAAACAGGACTTTGCTCTGCTACCAAAATCGATTCTTGCCAAGTCGCATCGCATGACCTTTTCAATCAGATCAAACATGCTGCTGAACATTAGCAGTCAATGGGAGTGTTTGTCTCAAATTTACCTTGCTCTCTCAGGTATGCCGACTACGCCACTTTCAAAGTCGGACCGGAAGTCGATGCATACCGCTTGACGTATGCGTATTACTTTGGTGGAGATGCTGGCGATGCCTTTGATGGGCACGACTTTGGCGATGATCCCAGTGACAAATTCTACACGTCTCACAATGGCATGCAGTTCAGTACACCTGACAAAGACAACGACAAGTTCCATGAAAACTGTGCCTTGCAGGAAGGCACCGGCTGGTGGATGAACCGCTGCCATGCCGCTCATCTCAACGGAAAATACTACCAGGGTAAAGCCTTTCCTCTTTATAGGAGCAAAGTCAATAGTATACATGCAGGAATCCCTTTACTGATGCATTCTGTCTTCACAGGTGGCAAGTACACAGAGAAGGACTCGCAGAATGGATATGACAATGGCATTATTTGGGCCACGTGGCAAAGTCGCTGGTATTCTCTGAAGGAGACCACCATGAAGATCATTCCCATCAACAGAATCGTTGCTGGAGGCCAGGAAAGTGGTTCTCTGAGCTATCGTTTTGTTTTTGTGAAACACATGAGCAAGGCATTTTCACGAGTGTAAACATCCATCTGTCTGTTTCTGGCGTTTTCCATTCTAGACATATTAATTTTGAAAAAGCTTCATACACAAGTCACACTTTGGTCATTTTTTACAACTTGATCAACTCATTTAAACAGCAGCAGCTGGTCTAACACATCGCACTCTCAACGAATGAATAAAATTCTCTGTCTTTTGTAAATGAAAAGTGTTCTGTAGTCCTCTTTACTTAAATATGTGAGAAATAACAACGTAGGTAAGGTTAAAATTACAATTAAAATTAAGGTTAAAAAAAAAAACAGATGGAACATTCATTAAAAAAATGGGTAATGCTTCGTTTTAATGTGTCCTTGTTACACAAGTTACATTTAATTACTATAGTAATAAGAGTAAATTATGCATAAGTGCAAGCAAGTAACACTAAACCAAACCGGTAACACTTTATTTTAAGGTGTCCGTGTTACACGTTACATGTACTTACTATTATAATAACAATTAATTATGCATAATTACATGCAAGTAACCCCAATCCAAACCCTAATCCTAACCCTATAGTAAATACATGTAGTTAATTAATATTACTCAGTACATAAATGTATAATTACACTGTAACAAGGACACCTTAAAATAAAGCGTAACCCCGAACCCTAACCCAAAACCTATAGTAACTAGATAGTTAATGGGTATTAACCAGTACTTATGTAATTACACATTAAAATAAAGTGTGTCCAAAAAGGGCACAAAACAAATGTTAATATGTGCATAAAAATAAATGAATGAATGTCTCCTGCCTTTTAATTGGCCTGTTACACAGCACAATTGTGTAGGTGTGTTAACCTCCGCACGGTTAGTAAGTCAATATTGCCCCACTGTCGTTCTAGATGAACAGGCTGCACTCCAAGCTCCCTGATGTAAGAAGATTTCATCATCTGTGCTGTGCTGCATCAATCAATAAATACTGAGTCAGCTATTTCAACTCAGGAAAGTGCCTTCTTATTTGTATTGTATTTTCACCCATGTATTTCTTTATTCACATACAAAGTAGATCGACAATAAGTGATTGTCTTTTTTTTTTTTTTTTCAATTTTCCATCATGTAACGCTATCAATCTTTAAATGAAAAGGTGTGGACATTTATTGTCATTGAGTTTAAGGAATGGTTTTGCTGAATATTTACTCACCTTTAATGAGATGAGATTGTTTCTTCATCAGGTTTGTAGAAATGTAGCATTGCATCAGTGTCTCAGCAATGGATGCTCTGCAGTGAATGGGTGCCGTCAGAATGAGAGTCCAAACAGCTGATAAAAACATCACAATAATCCACAAGTAATCCACAGCACTCCAGTCCATCAGTTAACATCTGGAGAAGACAAAAGCTGAAACAAATCCAGCACTAAGACGTTTTTACTTTAAACCTTTGCTAAAATACGAGCCTATTCGTAATATTGCTTTCTCCAGTGAAAACGTTCTCATCTAAATCAGAATCAGATATCAGATTAAACATTGTTTACAAGTGAAAACAGTCCCAAATGTGGGTGGATTTTGATGAGAGGACAACATCAGCTGTTTGGACTCTCATTCTGACGGCACCCATTCACTGCAGAAGATATATTGGTGAGCAAGTGATAGAATGATATATTTAAGTAAAGGATAATGCACGGCTAGCTGTGCATTAAACGGTTTTAATGCACACCTGCCAGCCAATCAGAATCGAGTATTCAGACAGACCATGGTATAAAGAAAAAACAAACTCATCTATATCTGGGATATATTGTTATAATCAGTGAAGTGAAATGAACCTCTCACTTACATTGCACGTACAACCTGCAGTGTTTATGAGAGAATTCGCGAGAGTGCAGAATTCAGTGAAAATCAACTGAAAATAAAAAACACTGGTGTTTCAGTGATGACTAACTCTGATTGGCCATTGCATTCATAAGCTCAACAGAATTGTGTGTGATTGGTTATAATGCACAACGATATAAAACCGCGTAAAAAGAAATATGATGCAACATGAGCAGATCTAAATTTAATGCCGCAATTAACACTTTTCATTTCATTTTTACTTTATTCGCGACAGCCTTTACCCTGGAGTTGGTTCACCCTCCGCAACATCTTCAATTCATTTGCATTTTTAGATGTAATTTAATTGTGCGGGGACATTTTTGTCTAATTTGGTGGCCCCAAGTCCCCATTATTTTCCGACTCGTGACTCCCTCCACCTATGAATATAAAACTAATAAATCTTACATCACTTACACTTTACACCAACTGATAGCACCGGTCTTATAAAATAGCTAGTTGTATTGTTAGTGGTCGAAATTGAAAATATGAAAATACAAAGAATTTTTGGGGTACCTAATAAAAGTAATTATGTCTGAAAAGACGGTTAGAAGTAACTATATATATATATATATATTAATGTGACTATTTATCAAATGTCTTTGATCTATTTTTAACATCGATACGGAATTTGTTGAAAAATTGTATAACGTGTCTATTTTCTTATTTTAAGTATAAATGGTTTATAATTTAGAGGTAAATATTGTTTAGCACCATGAGATCCCAATTCAAAATACAAACTATTAAAAAGTAACTATTACGGAAATCAAATATATATTAACTTCATTTAAAAAGTTACACGTGTGTTGTAAAGAAAGCTTCAAATCATTAAATTATAGATAAGGAAAAACAAAACCTCAGTCCAGCGGGTCAGAAGTGATGCTCTGCGTGAAAACACACTTGGTCCTCTGAACACAGCAACATGCTACTGTCCTTAATTTGTCTTGTACCTCTTTACCAAGATCCCATTACATTTATAATTCTTGAGCAGATGATGCATGGCAATGCACATTCAAAATAATTGCACTTATTTCTGTGGAGCTTCATCTTTGAATTTTAAAGGGTTGTGAAACCCTAAAACACAGCTCCCCTTATGTACTGACAGACTATGTAGTGCAGCGTAAATATGCATGAGTAATGCTAAATACCCACTTTTATCATTCAAAGGGGGTTTTCTGACAGATTCCTTCAGCCACAGTGCACATAATCAACTATTCCAATGCTTCCCTTCATATATCCACCCAATCCACACAGTACATACACATTTTAGTTTTTTTTGTTTTTAATGAACAAAGTCTACATGTGTATTTTCAAACCTCTACAGTAGCAAATATGACTCAAATTAACAGTACATTCTTGAACCAATCAGATTATATAAAAAAAACAACTTATACTCAGTGAAAGAGAACAGTAGATGATCTGTTGTAAACTTGCTTGTACTCCCTGATCATAAACGTATGATTTTCACGAAATCATTAAAATCAGTCCAATATGATGGAAAGCATGTCAATTCGTTTTTTTATTTTACAAATTATGTTGGGAAACACAATTTTCTAGACCATAAAATCTATGTTTTATTACTAATTTATAGGGATTTGTTGTAAATTGCCCCCCCCCAAAAAATGTCAAGGTATGAATGCATCAATTGCTCAGTTTATTTAAAGTTGGCAAACATGAACAGCCATCATTTGCAAATATTTATATGTAAATGACACTTGTATTGTTTGTCTCTCTGATAGAGCAGCAATATCGATCAAATGCCGTTATAATTATACTGTAAGAGATCTTGCAGTTGAATAGTTAGCCGGCCTGGTAACATAGACAGCCATCATTTGCAAATATTTATATGTAAATGACACTCTCTGATAGAGCAGCAATATCGATCAAATGCCGTTATAATTATACTGTAAGAGATCTTGCAGTTGAATAGTTAGCTGGCCTGGTAACACAGACCTGCAAATGGTGTTTGGAGTGGACTGGGAAGAAACCTTGTATACAAGAAATCTATAGATCTGCAGTGTTGCTTTTTTTAATGGATTAGAGCAAAGCTAAATGCGTCATCTGATCTGAAGTCTAAAACTGTGGATGTGTCGTTTATGCCTTGAGCAGAAACGGTCTTAGATGGCTAAAACGTAACAAAATGAAAGCTTTGAAATAGAAAAAAAAAAAATACAAAAACTAAAATCTTTTTCTCTTCAGAATCTCAGGTTTCCAATTAACCGGGTGGGATTCTTCAGTCTGAAAAAAACACAAAAAAACAAGTTTTAAAGAAAATCTTAATTTGGAAAATTTGCAGCAGAACATCAAGGCAATCCTTTTCCATCTGATAAACCTTTTCAATTATAAACATTTCACAATCGACACATTTTATCATCATTATTAATAGTTTTGAGTAGAACAACAACGAATAACTTACAGCCGTGTCGTCCTCTTTGTAGACCTTGATGGTTTTGTCGGCCTCTGCTGTTATGAGGCGGCTCTCAGACTGATCGAACACGCACGCAAAGATCCCAGACTCGCTGTCTAGAGAACCGGGCTGCACCGCCGCATGAATCCTCTGGAAGTTGTAGCCAGTCCTCCAGTCCCACATGTGAATAGTGCCGTTATCAGCTGATGAGAAAAAGGACAGTCAACGACAGATGCATCAATTGAGCTATCGGTAAGCCCCGCCCCCTTAGTTACTGTTTATTGGTTGCTCACTCGGACAAACAAACGTTGTTGCTCACTCTCACACAATGACAGCTGTCAGTGAAAACCTGATAAATTTGGGACACAGATGGACCTTCAAGTGGGACTTAAATATGCCATGGAGGGATATATAAAAGATATTAAAATAAATATGTAAAAATACAGATCACAATGCAAACGGGAGAATTATTTTACGGTCGTCACGATCGCAATGACAACATCCCGGATCAACACCGTTCATATACCGCAGAGTAAGATTAAATTAATTTACATTTAACCAGATTAATATGGAGAGGTACTCGAATATAGACCTTCGTTTATGTGTTTTTGACTTTCACTGCACAGTACGCGAGAACAGTTCGCTATTTAGGTTTGTACGTTAGCATGGACTAGTTTTAGCGAGAGATACCTTGCTGAAGCACAAGATTACATTAACGTTCTGCTTGAGCTGATGAAAAGTGTAACTTAATGAGAGTACGACAACCAGAAAATGAACGTTTTCGTCTTCATTGTGATTGGGGGTGAATGCTTAGGGACATTTTGCGCCATTTTGGTTGGATTTAGGAAATAAATTCTATTTCCCATCCTCTCAGGATACCTGGAATTAGTGTTACAAGTACCCCAGGCACATAATTTTTCAATTTTTGAAGCATAAACACCATTAAACCGATGCAAGCTTCGGATCTCCCAATGTTTTTCTATGGCGCTGAAGCCTACAGATGTCCGAGTTCCGCTCCTCGTGCAACTGATACTCGACTGCCATTGGCTCATCTGCGTTCGAGGGGAGGGGCTTACCAATAGGTCAATTGGACATGAGGGAGGGAATCAGGAATGAGACAAAATTCAACATTGTTCAACAGATTTTTAGCAGGACC